TTACAACTGGGTGCCAACCTTATGACAGCTATCAGTAAGAGGTTATCAATAACTTTGTTTTAAAGAATCAATCTTTTTCCATTTCTTTTCAAATCAAGTCAATGGTCTCACTAAGATCTAGCGGAAAATTAAGATATTGTTTTTCTTCAAAATTGTCAACTTGGTGGTATACGGATGTGTGAAGCAAAACTGTGAACAATGTATTGAGTGTTATTTTTTGTTTAATACATGTAGATTAGCCACTGGGTTACATTTGACAATGATGACGTGGTAACTTCTCTCAATTTATATGTAGATCAACTTTCAATAATTGATAGTGGATACCAACTATCTGCCAAATACAAACCTTTATTCATAGTGTATTCCAATTAGTTTTTGAATATTCTGGGGCTAATAAACCAGCCAAAACTCGAGAATGCAACTCCCTTTAATTCCAGCGATTGACAGTGTGTTTCATCTGAACTAAACTTGGGAAAACTACTGGAGGAGCAGTTACACAGCTCACAACAATCCTCACTCCGCCACTGAGCCATGAAAACTATTACAATAAATCAACAACAAATCTTAGCTTGCAGTTCTTAAGTATCTCTGTCTCAGTAACCTAACTAGTCACTTTGTAACAAAATCAGCCAAATATCGAGCGAGGGGCATGTCTGTTCCAAGTAGGTAGAGCTTGCTGGAACAGGTGGCTTTATTTCTTTAAGTCCAAACTTGAGTGCTTTAATTGAACTTCATGATATATCAAGCAAACAAAATGTCATAGTTTAATTTTGAAAAGAATGTTTGGCCTTTGTAGCAAATGTTGTTTTGTATGATTGAGGTATCCTTAGATTTGTGAAGGTGGTAAGAGGTGGGGTGGTGTTGCGACTTACAGGTAGACTCTTAATAATCCCTGAAAATTCTTTAAGTCGCCATTATATCATAAAAATATTAACCTGGACTTCAGGTGGCAACTTACATAAAGTGAAAATCTTTGGGAACATTTCTAGATGTACAATATGGCAAGTAAGATTTGTATAACATCAATCACACTGGCAAGATAAGAAACTTGTTTAGGGACCTGGAATTTTTGCATGCACCAAATGGATCTTTTG